TACAGGCTGGATCACGATACACTCTGTCGGCTATCATCCCGATTGTCTCGTCCACAGGTACGTTGGTAAACAGCGATTCTACGTCCAACGAGGCTCTTATCCCTGTGGCCCGTGTGCCCCGCAGTAAGTCAACAAATTCCTTTGGAGACTTCAGACTGAAGGCGCAAGGACATAAGGAGTCAGCAGGCCGTTGAGTCGCTTTGCCAGTCTGTACGTGGGTGTGGGTATCTGGCTAATGATTGGCCGAAGTGGGTTTCCAGGCTTGTGTGTCTTGACATTTCCATACGCATATCCAGGTTTATATTCCCCAATAGGGGAAATGTACGAAAGATTGAGAAAATTCGTGTTAGAATTATTAATCTTACTTTTTCGGTCATATTTATAAATATATATATATATATATATATATATATATATATATATATATATATGTCGTACCTTCATAAGAAAAAAATTAGAGAAAATATATTAATTCAGTAAAACTTAGGTAGCTTATTAGGCAAATCGGGCCTCGCATAGTAGGCTGAGAAGTGAGTTCTGGCTACTAGGTACGACATATATATATATATATATATGTCGTACCTAGTAGCCTGAACGCACTTCTCAGCCTACTATGCAAGGCCCGATTTGCCTAATAAGCCAAGTTTTCCTGAATTATTATATTTTCTCTAATTATTTTTCTTATGAAATGATAAAGCTACCCATTTCATTATGTATGAGGTAATTTTTTTTTTTATTGGAGTTAAAATTAACGTAGATATATGACCGAACCTAACCAACCCTACCTAACCTAACCTAACCTATCTTTATAGGTTAGGTTAGGTAGACGAAAAAGTTAGGTTAGGTTAGGTTAGGTTAGGTAGGTTAGGTAGTCGAAAAACAAATAATTCATGAAAACTTGGCTTGTTAGGCAAATTGGGCCTTGCATAGTAGGCTGAGAAGTGCGTTCTGGCTACTAGGTACGACATATATATATATATATATATATATATATATATATATATATATATATATATATATATATATATATATATATATATATAATGTACCTAGTAGCCAGAACGCACTTCTCGGCCTACTATGCAAGGCTCGATTTGCCTAATAGGCCGAGTGATTTCCATTCTTTTTAATAAATTGTTTCTAATTAGTTTATTTTAATTATTTGTATTATGTTATATTAAGAACATAAATTATTGACTTAGTTGTCTTATTTTAGGTTAGGTTAAGATAGGTTAGGTTAGGTTAGGTAGGGTTGGTTAGGTTCGGTCATATATCTACGTTAGTTTTAACTCAAATTTAAAACAAAATAACTAATACATAATGAAATGGATAGCTTTATCATTTCATTAGAATAAAATATTGAAAAATATATAAACTCAGGAAAATTGGCTTATTAGGCAAATCGGGCCTTGCATAGTAGGCCGAGTACGACGTTCTGGCTACTAGGTACAATATATATATATATATATATATATATATATATATATATATATATATATATATATATATATATATATATATATAAATATATATATGTCGTACCTAGTAGCCAGAACTCACTTCTCAGCCTACTATGCAAGGCCCGATTTGCCTAATAAGCCAAGTTTTCATGAATTAATTGTTTTTCGACTACCTAACCTACCTAACCTAACCTAACCTAACTTTTTCGGCTACCTAACCTAACCTAACCAATAAAGATAGGTTAGGTTAGGTTAGGTAGGGTTGGTTAGGTTCGGTCATATATCTACGTTAATTTTAATTCCAATAAAAAAAAATTGACCTCATACATAATGAAATGGGTAGCTTTATCATTTCATAAGAAAAAAATTAGAGAAAATATATTAATTCATGAAAACTTGGCTTATTAGGCAAATCGGGCCTTGCATAGTAGGCCAAAAAGTGAGTTCTGGCTACTAGGTACGACATATATATATATATATATATATATATATATATATATATATATATATATATATATATATATATATATATATATATATATATATATATATATAATATCTTTCCTCTGACCTCTCAATTAGGTGTGGTAGGCGGAATAACTCTGAGACAGGTAGACTCGTTCTTCAGGCTACCTGGGGTCATAAGAGTCGTCACTGAGTCTAAGTCTGTGGGTTTAAAATATGGAGAAGAGTGCACGTGTTTAGAACATTTCAGTTATGTTGTTAAAGAAAAACGGATAACTTAGACAATGTCTTAAGAAAAGTGATAACCGGACTATGTTGATTGGACGGAGACTCGGTGCCAAAGGAGAGGAAGAATGTCATGACCGTCGCCCAGGTGTGCCAGGTTCGATGCCGGATGCCGTGCCCGGCGGCCAGGTGTGCCAGGAAGGATGCCAGATGCCGTGCCCGGCGGCCAGGTGTGCCAGGAAGGATGCCAGATGCCATGCCCGGCGGCCAGGTGTGCCAGGAAGGATGCCAGATGCCGTGCCAAGCGGCCAGGTGTGCCAGGAAGGTTGCCAGATGCCATGCCCGGCGGCCAGGTGTGCCAGGGAAGGCGTCTCTCATTTTTATGGTGCAGGTAAAGGGAGGGTGAGGATCACACACTCGGCGATAGTTCTACCTGTTGCAATTTCGTTTTTTGACAGTAAGTGAATTGAATCAAGAGGGGGAAGCTGAGGTTGGACAAGTAAACATGTTCCCTGTAGTGTAGCGCTGGCGGCCATGTGGCTCCCACACGGCAGCTTCGCATTTACTTACACTTTGAATTTCCTCAAAGATTCCACACGAGCGCGTGATTGACATCAGTGTTATAATCTTATGTGTTATGAGTTCAAGACTTCAGTGCGCTACAATGACATCTGTAACGTTATCTCTCTCTCAAAATATAGATTTCCCTAGAATATTGCGGGTTATTTAAGTAATATATTTTATATTTTTGTTATCAGCAATCTTAGTTACTCCAGACAATAAGAAGAGCTCCATAGCTTGTGTGAAGGACATGTTGTGTGATAAAAAGACTTAACCCCTCGAGGGTCAGTCTTATACGGGCGTGATCAATACCTGCCGACACTGCCAGACTTGACCTGTATCATGAGGATATCCTCAGGAACACCACAGTGAAGGACGTGACCATGACACAATATCCTTCATCAGGGCACGGGGGCGGTGACGCCCACCATCAACTCTTTTTTTTTTTAATTCTGCTATAGAAGTATATTTTCTTCAACACAGGCGGCTTTAATAATACAATATTGTGAATTCTTTAATTAATTTGGGTTTATAAGGAGTAAACCAATGGATTATTTTCTATAAATTTTCTCGCAATAGACGTTACAAGTAAGCAACTTTGCCTCCATATAGATAATTTGTATTAATATACGTCTCCGACTAAATATATTATTCAGTTGATCATCACACTCTTGAAGTTGATTAACTATATCACAAGACAATGTCCATGGAACACTGACGTACTCTCAGTCGTAGTGGTTCTCATGATCTTCTCTATAACTATAGTAATCACTCGGCACATTTGCGAGCAGCGCTGCTTGGCTTGAAAGGAGGTGTGTGTCACGCTGCCAGCCATCACTCACGCCAGGTGGAAGGCTGTCACCATATGATAACTTCCATGGCAAATCCAGCGCTGTTGACTACCTGCTATGGCGAGGTAGTTCCTCCGCTCTGTAAATGGACTTTCAGTTCTAATAGCGTGTCTGCTGTCAGGAACAGAGTGCTGTCACGACATACGTCCAGGAGACAGGTGACCAGCACTGGCGGTCTGTCTCCTCGAGCCGCTAGACAGAGATGGATCACACATACAAACATTGAGGACTGTCGTAGCGTCTCAGAACCTACGCGCTAATCATCGGCTCATTAGATTTACCTCATTGTTTAATCAACAGGACGACCAAACCGGATCAATGGCAGTGTTTACACCGGGATTACTTGTCTTAATAGCCACTACCTTTTGCACACGACTGCTCACCTCCGAGATGCCGTCACACCCTGAGACTGTCTCTGCTACAACACTAAGGGTTCAGTCCTTCACACGGGGCGCTGGTGATGACAGCTCAACACTCAGAACACAACACCGAAATCGAGCATGCTCCTTAACTGACATTAGCCACTGATCAGTTCAGCCACGGACCAATCAGACACAAGAGTGATGTAACCTAATGTGACAGGCTGTGTCATTGGTTGAAAAGGGTCACATGACAAGGAAGGGAAGAAGAGGGAGCTAACGAAGGAAGTGATGTAAAACATCTATCAGGCGCCATCTTGTGTGCTCAGAACAAAAATGTAAAATCGTGGAAATAAAGCCGAATGTCAGCCTCATAGCATCACTTAAGATGTGTTAGTATTTATTAAATATATATCGGTTGTCTCCTATGTCAATTGTGGGTATTGTAACAGAAAGTGAGGGTGATATAGCGTTAGGTTCGACTGTGATATAGTGCCTATATAAGCCAAGCAGCAAAGATACACCACCAAATTAGCATGAGAGATATTACAAGCCGACTTCCCTGCAAACACACAACCTGACGGTCCCTGTTATTACCTTGTTACAACTTCTTACAACGTTGTTACATATTTTAATAGTTTTTATGGCGTGTTAGAAAGTTGTTATAACTTGTTAGATAGTTGTTATAACTTGTTAGATAGTTATAACTTGTTAGATAGTTGTTATAACTTGTTAGATAGTTGTTATAACTTGTTAGATAGTTGTTATAACTTGTTAGATAGTTGTTATAACTTGTTAGATAGTTGTTATAACTTGTTAGATAGTTGTTATAACTTGTTAGATAGTTGTTATAACTTGTTAGATAGTTGTTATAACTTGTTAGATAGTTGTTATAACTTATTAGAAGGTGTTTCTACTTGTTTGAACGTTGTAGCAACGTCGTAGTTTCGTGGTGTGTTTGGCGGGTTAAACATCTAAGTACACTGACCTGAAGAACACCAGCTGCCATTAATTCTGGTAACACATGTCAGAAACCTGCCAAAAAATCAAAGGCAAGACTGTGAATAACCACTACCAAGATGACAGGAGAAGAGGAAGGAAGAGACGTGGAGGTGGGCGTGGCTAGAGGTGGGAGGTACGCGGAAGGTTGAACACAGCAGTAGAATACAACGTCTTACAAGGGAGAGCTGAGACACTAACATGAAATACAATAAAATCATTTTTCTTCGGTAAAGTTCACTCTTTTGTCCTATACTCGAATAATACCTGTAGAGCAAAATCATTTGATTTATGTCTCCATGTGTCTCAGTGGCCACCCTGGCTCCCTCCATGTGTCACAGTGGCCACCCTGGCTCCCTCCATGTGTCACAGTGGCCACCCTGGCTCCCTCCATGTGTCACAGTGGCCACCCTGGCTCCCTCCATGTGTCACAGTGGCCACCCTGGCTCCCTCCATGTGTCACAGTGGCCACCCTGGCTCCCTCCATGTGTCACAGTGGCCACCCTGGCTCCCTCCATGTGTCACAGTGGCCATCCTGGCTCCCTCCATGTGTCACAGTGGCCACCTTGGCTCCATCCATGTGTCACAGTGGCCACCTTGGCTCCCTCCATGTGTCACAGTGACCACCAACACCACCCTGGCTCCCTCCATGTGTCACAGTGGCCACCATCACCACCCTGGCTCCCTCCATGTGTCACAGTGGCCACCTTGGCTCCCTCCATGTGTCACAGTGGCCACCCTGGCTCCCTCCATGTGTCACAGTGGCCACCATCACCACCCTGGCTCCTTCCATGTGTCACAGTGGCCACCACCACCACCCTGGCTCCCTCCATGTGTCACAGTGACCACCAACACCACCCTGGCTCCCTCCATGTGTCACAGTGGCCACCACCACCACCCTGGCTCCCTCCATGTGTCACAGTGGCCACCATCACCACCCTGGCTCCTTCCATGTGTCACAGTGGCCACCATCACCACCCTGGCTCCCTCCATGTGTCACAGTGGCCACCTTGGCTCCCTCCATGTGTCACAGTGGCCACCCTGGCTCCCTCCATGTGTCACAGTGGCCACCCTGGCTCCCTCCATGTGTCACAGTGGCCACCACCACCACCCTGGCTCCTTCCATGTGTCACAGTGGCCACCACCACCACCCTGGCTCCCTCCATGTGTCACAGTGGCCACCACCACCACCCTGGCTCCCTCCATGTGTCACAGTGGCCACCACCACCACCCTGGCTCCCTCCATGTGTCACAGTGGCCACCACCACCACCCTGGCTCCCTCCATGTGTCACAGTGGCCACCACCACCACCCTGGCTCCTTCCATGTGTCACAGTGGCCACCACCACCACCCTGGCTCCCTCCATGTGTCACAGTGGCCACCATCACCACCCTGGCTCCTTCCATGTGTCACAGTGGCCACCAACACCACCCTGGCTCCCTCCATGTGTCACAGTGGCCACCATCATCACCCTGGCACCCTCCATGTGTCACAGTGACCACCAACACCACCCTGGCTCCCTCCATGTGTCACAGTGGCCACCAACACCACCCTGGCTCCCTCCATGTGTCACAGTGGCCACCACCACCACCCTGGCTCCCTCCATGTGTCACAGTGGCCACCCTGGCTCCCTCCATGTGTCACAGTGGCCACCCTGGCTCCCTCCATGTGTCACAGTGGCCACCATCACCACCCTGGCTCCCTCCATGTGTCACAGTGGCCACCCTGGCTCCCTCCATGTGTCACAGTGGCCACCATGGCTCCCTCCATGTGTCACAGTGGCCACCCTGGCTCCCTCCATGTGTCACAGTGGCCACCCTGGCTCCCTCCATGTGTCACAGTGGCCACCCTGGCTCCCTCCATGTGTCACAGTGGCCACCCTGGCTCCCTCCATGTGTCACAGTAGCCACCCTGGCTCCCTCCATGTGTCACAGTGGCCACCCTGGCTCCCTCCATGTGTCACAGTAGCCACCAATACCACTTTAGGGAAACATGTATCATCTCCTCAGGACGGACTAAGATACGAGTTGCTCTTCCCAAAACTTAACAGCCATCATGAAGTTGTTGAAGACAACTGCCGCTCACTCGTCATCCCAAGAAACACTTTGTTGTCATAAGACATTATATTGAAGTACAGCTGAACGACTGGCAAGACAGCAGTTGCCACAGTAAGTGACCCTACCACTTAGACTGGTCGAGACAGCGACGGCCTCTCTTTTTTGCAAGGTCGGCGTTCGATCCCCGATGCTCCAAGTGGTCAGGCACCGTTCCTACCCTCTGTTCTATCGCAGATAGAATAGTCTTGATATATCCTACCTCGATACCCAGTATTGATATCCCTTCCCCAAGTGCTACATAGCACTTGGGGAAGGGATATCAAGCACATGCATGGCCATAGTACTGCATAGCGCTCTCTCCTGCTAATTACCTCTCGCCTGATAAGCGAGCAGAGCAATTTGTAACTCGTTCACCTTCACCAATTAAAGGTCAATATCCAGCAATTTGCTGCAATCCTTCATCGTCATCAAAGGTCTTCAAGAGATACCTCTGATGAGCGGCTCGTCCGGCGGTGCCTGCAGCCTCCGTGTTGGTGACACACACTCCCAGGGTGTGTGGTGAGGCTCCGTGTTGGTGACACACTCTCCCAGGGTGTGTGGTGAGGCTCCGTGTTGGTGACACACACTCCCAGGGTGTGTGGTGAGGCTCCGTGTTGGTGACACACTCCCAGGGTGTGTGGTGAGGCTCCGTGTTGGTGACACACACTCCCAGGGTGTGTGGTGAGGCTCCGTGTTGGTGACACACTCCCAGGGTGTGTGGTGAGGCTCCGTGTTGGGGACACACTCTCCCAGGGTGTGTGGTGAGGCTCCGTGTTGGTGACACACTCCCAGGGTGTGTGGTGAGGCTCTGTGTTGGTGACACACTCTCCCAGGGTGTGTGGTGAGGCTCCGTGTTGGTGACACTCTCCCAGGGTGTGTGGTGAGGCTCCGTGTTGGTGACACACACTCCCAGGGTGTGTGGTGAGGCTCCGTGTTGGTGACACACACTCCCAGGGTGTGTAGTGAGGCTCCGTGTTGGTGACACACTCCCAGGGTGTGTGGTGAGGCTCCGTGTTGGTGACACTCTCCCAGGGTGTGTGGTGAGGCTCCGTGTTGGTGACACACTCCCAGGGTGTGTGGTGAGGCTCTGTGTTGGAGACACACACTCCCAGGATGTGTGGTGAGGCTCCGTGTTGGTGACACACTCTCCCAGGGTGTGTGGTGAGGCTCCGTGTTGGTGACACACTCTCCCAGGGTGTGTGGTGAGGCTCCGTGTTGGTGACACACACTCCCAGGGTGTGTGGTGAGGCTCCGTGTTGGTGACACACTCTCCCAGGGTGTGTGGTGAGGCTCCGTGTTGGTGACACACACTCCCAGGGTGTGTGGTGAGGCTCCGTGTTGGTGACACACTCCCAGGGTGTGTGGTGAGGCTCCGTGTTGGTGACACACTCTCCCAGGGTGTGTGGTGAGGCTCCGTGTTGGTGACACACACTCCCAGGGTGTGTGGTGAGGCTCTGTGTTGGTGACACACTCCTAGGGTGTGTGATGAGTCTCCGTGTTGGTGACACACTCTCCCAGGGTGTGTGGTGAGGCTCCGTGTTGGTGACACACACTCCCAGGGTGTGTGGTGAGGCTCTGTGTTGGTGACACTCTCCCAGGGTGTGTGGTGAGGCTCCGTGTTGGTGACACACTTTCCCAGGGTGTGTGGTGAGGCTCTGTGTTGGTGACACACTCTCCCAGGGTGTGTGGTGAGGCTCCATGGTGTGTGGTGAGGCTCCGTGTTGGTGACACTCCCAGGGTGTGTGGTGTGGCTCCGTGTTGGTGACACTCTCCCAGGGTGTGTGGTGAGGCTCCGTGTTGGTGACACTCTCCCAGGGTGTGTGGTGAGGCTCCGTGTTGGTGACACACACTCCCAGGGTGTGTGGTGAGGCTCTGTGTTGGTGACACACTCTCCCAGGGTGTGTGGTGAGGCTCCATGGTGGTGACACACTCTCCCAGGGTGTGTGGTGAGGCTCCGTGTTGGTGACACTCCCAGGGTGTGTGGTGTGGCTCCGTGTTGGTGACACTCTCCCAGGGTGTGTGGTGAGGCTCCGTGTTGGTGACACTCTCCCAGGGTGTGTGGTGAGGCTCTGTGTTGGTGACACACACTCCCAGGGTGTGTGGTGAGGCTCCGTGTTGGTGACACACTCTCCCAGGGTGTGTGGTGAGGCTCCATGGTGGTGACACACTCTCCCAGGGTGTGTGGTGAGGCTCCATGTTGGTGACACACTCTCCCAGGGTGTGTGGTGAGGCTCCGTGGTGGTGACACACTCTCCCAGGGTGTGTGGTGAGGCTCCGTGTTGGTGACACTCCCAGGGTGTGTGGTGAGGCTCCGTGTTGGTGACACACTCCCAGGGTGTGTGGTGAGGCTCCGTGTTGGTGACACACTCTCCCAGGGTGTGTGGTGAGGCTCCGTGTTGGTGACACACACTCCCAGGGTGTGTGGTGAGGCTCCGTGTTGGTGACACACACTCCCAGGGTGTGTGGTGAGGCTCCATGTTGGTGACACACTCTCCCAGGGTGTGTGGTGATGACACACTCTCCCAGGGTGTGTGGTGAGGCTCCGTGTTGGTGACACTCTCCCAGGGTGTGTGGTGATGACACACTCTCCCAGGGTGTGTGGTGAGGCTCCGTGTTGGTGACACTCTCCCAGGGTGTGTTCCTCCAGGTGTTCTTCAAGCAGATAATACATTGACAAATAAAATTTAAAGATACGTTAAATGTCAACACGTAAAACTATGAGTTATACAGTGTAAGACGGGTTCAGTTGATTGAACTTGACAGGTTGACGAGTGAACAATGGGTACTCGTTACTGTGATCTCCGAGCACTTGACCGCGCTCCCCCGGTGCCAACACTTCAGCTGACGAGAAGACACATGTTTGAGCTCTGACGCTCAGGGTGAGCGTCAGAGCGTCAGATGGGGTGTACGTAGTAGTCAGACACAGCACTGAGGTGTAGGGGTCTGGTAGCATTCTTGTCTCTGAAAGAATTGCACATATGCTACATACGTTGTTCCTGGGGCGGCAAACTGTGGATGTGTGTTAGAGATGACTCAAGGT